ATCGGGCCATTTTACAGTTTGTGATATGTTCGAAACTGTCACGAGCATGATTCGTTATTGCTGTGGCGAACTGCCACTGTTTTTTGGTCTTTTATATTTTGGATTCTAGTGATTTTGATTTAACGATACCAAAATTAATGGCTAAGCTCAGTGAATTGTCTTTTAAAGAGGGATTTATTCTTTCAGATAATAGATAATGTGTTGCAAACTTTCTGTTATCTATATTCGTTAATTTAAGAGGAACGGCACAAATTCCGATAATAGGTTAATTTCCAAAAAGTCAATAAATCAATGGATTTGATAGATGCTTTTCAGATGTTATTCATCTCGTAGTGAAAATCAACTTACCCCTTTCCGCCGATTTCCAGTCATTCAAATCAAAAGAAAATCGCTAGATCGATAAAGCCAGTCTCTTGTATTTAATCTTCTAATCTATTAATATAAAATTGTTGCAGTTTGCAGTTGATAAATCCTAACTTACCTGCTTTATGCCTTTATGCCAAATTGGCAAATACAAGTTTTGATTCAATTTATGGAGATGCTAATTTGTATTCAGAACATACAAAATCCACATACAGATAGGTATTGTGCTTTATCGTGCTTTACATCAGATATGATTTTTGATGTTTTTAGCCTGCGAGGCAAAATATTGGTGCAAATCTCTACATAAGTACATTTATCTCCTTAGACGTTTTTTCCTTCTTCTCTTTCCGCTTTTATCATAATATAATAATGGCTAGGTCAGGCCTCGGCACGAGGTCTCCGATTGCACTTCGAAATCGAATAACCCTTTGAAAATCACGAATTTTACGAGATTCCCTTTGAGCATGAAGAAGTCAGAAGGAAATGTCAGAAGTAGAAAAAATTTCATTGCCTCTCAAAAGTCGTGAAATTTTGCTTCGCTGCTAAGAAAACTGCACATTTATACATTGAAAACAGATGAATATATTTGATAATTAAAATAACGGTTTTTCCCCTAAGACAATGTTAAGCGATTACG